TAAACACATGCTGCCCTAATGCAGACTTAGTAAGATGAGGCCCCTGGGCTAACGCAGGTTGTGGTCCAGCAGGAGAACCATGACACGGGGACATAGCTCTGGAGTGGGCTTTAGTCACATACATACCTGGATTCAGATTCCATCTGCTGCCTTCGTCCGTGTGATCTTTCTATACCTTTTTCTTTGAGAGTCCCGTACCTCCTTTGTAAACTGGAAGAAGGTGTTTCTATCTTAGGGTGGATGTAAGGGTGCTAGGGAGTTCCGTTGTAGAATGCTGAGCCCAGCACCGGGTCAGCAGGAAGTGTTGACACTGTGGTGGTGGTACTTACGGTGGCAGGAAGAGTTTGGAGCCGGAGGTCCCTGTTCTCCCAACCCAGCCTCTCCTAAGCAGGGGGCCCCATTGGCGCCCCAGACTTCTGCAGGCCTCCTGACTCTTCTGTCTCTCCAGACAGCGCCCAAGAAAACCTCATTTGGCTCACTGAAGGATGAAGACCGCATCTTCACCAACCTGTATGGCCGCCACGACTGGAGGTGAGAGGGTGCCTGTAGCCTGGTGGGCTCCAGGGCTGGGCCTCCCCTTCACTGCCCTCCCTACTCTGTCCAGGCTGAAAGGAGCCCAGAGTCGAGGTGACTGGTACAAGACGAAAGAGATCCTGCTCAAGGGGCCTGACTGGATCCTGGGTGAGATCAAGACGTCAGGCTTGCGTGGCCGCGGAGGTGCTGGCTTCCCCACCGGCCTCAAATGGAGCTTCATGAACAAGCCCTCGGATGGCAGGTATGTGCTAGAGGCTGGGCCTGCAGGAGAGCCCTGGGGGTGGCTGGGGCTTGTCTGGGCCTTTGGACTGTTTCCTTAGAAGCTAAGAGTGATTGAGGTGGGAACATGCTCCCAGAGTATTAATGGATGGACTCACAGTCTTCCTAGTCTGCCTCAGAGGAGATGGAAGTGTAGCACTCACCAGGATTGTGACGCAGGCCAACTTACTTATTCAAATCCCAACTCTGCCTTCTAATCCGATAGCCTTAAACCTTGTAAATGGGCTTAACAATGTTGTGTGGGGATTCAAGAGACAGCCTTCAGCATTTGGTTAGCATGTTGGCCCATCCACGGAAGCAAATAATCATTAGTTACTGTACTTCCTTTTGGCCCAGACATGTGAGAGGTTGAGGAAGACTCTAGGTGAAGAGTGCAGAATTGGGGCCCTCAGAGCAAAGCACAGGGGAGACTGGGCAGGGGAAAGCCCTTTCCTGTATTCATAGCCAACCAGAGGTGGAACAGGCAGTGTGCTCCCTGTCATTGGTCATGAGACCCCGAGGTCCCCAGGAACATCTTGGGAGGGAAGAAAGGGATGGGTGGTTGAAGGTGACGTCTTTGAGGCCTCCCTGGATTGAGTGAGAACGGCCTGGGGTTGAGAATCCGGCCCTAGTGGGCCCGTAGCCTGACTGACCTGCTGACCCCACAGGCCCAAGTACCTGGTGGTGAATGCAGACGAGGGGGAGCCGGGCACCTGCAAGGACCGGGAGATCATGCGCCACGATCCCCACAAGCTGGTGGAAGGCTGCCTGGTTGGGGGTCGAGCCATGGGCGCCCGTGCTGCCTACATCTACATTCGAGGGGAATTCTACAATGAAGCTTCCAATCTGCAGGTGGGCAGACGTGGGGCCTCCCCACGAGAAGGTCTAGGTGTTCACACCCACCTGGCTCACCAGCACAGTTGTTCTCTCAGCGGTGGAACTGGGAGAGTGGTGACTATGTGTGTGTATCATGGGTGGGACCTGGTCCTCAAAGCCGCCTCCTCTGGGCATGGCCTTCATGCTCCAGAGCCTCGAGGTGGAGATCTCCAAGGCCCCTGAAGTTACCAGCAGAGTCCTGGAGTGGGCATGGGCCAGGGCATTTTTCCTGCAGAAGGACCAAGGGGACATTTCAGTAAGTCTTAGTTTGGTGATGCCTGTGGTTCCTGGTCTAGGGCCAAAGTCACAGTGCTTTCCTTTGGCTCCAAACATTGGAGGGGGGGGGGGGGAGTGTTAAACCAAAAATTGAACCTTGAGGGTCTTCTGCCTACTATGGAAATAAGAAATACTGTGTCAGAGAAACAGAAAACCACAGGGGGAGAAAAAACAAACAAATAGAAGACCCTCCCCAGATCTCTCATCTAGAGAAACTGTTTTCAACTGCTTGTTGAAAAAGTTATTTCCTTCAATTCTTTCTTTTTAAAATCATATACTTTGATCACTTGTCCTGTTGTTAAAGTGCTGTGGCATTGGTTCCAACTCTTAGTCACCCTGCATACGGTGTCCAAGGAGTGGCTGGTGGGTTTGAACCTCCAACCTTGCAGTTAGCTGTCCAGTGCTTATCCTACAGCGCCACACTCTGCCACTTAGTGTTATTACAGGAGTGATGTGCACATTGTGAAATTGCAGTCTCCCCAGATGTTATCTGCTGTTGTCCAGGAGCTTTGGCCCTGGGTGTCTGGTAGGCTTACCAAGCCCCATATGCCCCCATGCACAGTGTCTGGCACTCAGGGCCTTCTACCCCACCTGCCACCTGCCTACCCCCACACTTTCTCACTCCCTCCTTCCTGGACTTTCAGGGCTGACGCCCTCGTACCCCTCTCCCACAGGTGGCCATCCGAGAGGCCTACGAGGCAGGCCTGATTGGCAAGAACGCCTGTGGCTCTGAGTACGATTTTGATGTGTTCGTGGTGCGTGGGGCCGGAGCCTACATCTGCGGGGAGGAGACAGCTCTCATCGAGTCCATCGAGGGCAAACAGGGCAAGCCCCGCCTGAAGCCACCCTTTCCGGCCGATGTGGGTGAGGCCCGCCCTGACCCCGAGGTTTCACCTCCACCATTCCTGTGGGCTTTCCAAGCCGCCTTCAGGCCCCCACTGAACCTTCATTGCTGTTCTGAGCACCTCCCGGGCTAGGGCCAGATGCTATGGGACAAGCATCTACGATTACAGAACCCCAGACTCCCCAGGGCCCCCCACAGCCCTCATCCTGCCTCAGCCCCCACGGTCAATTCCCATGTCTCCTCCAACCGTTCAAGCTCGACTATAACTTTCCCTCTGCGCTGGCTGGTGTGGGATTGAGGCTCGATGGGGAACAAGCCAGATGCATCTCCTGCTGGGCTTGGGGTCCAGCCCGGGACAAGATGGTGCAGGGAGGAAAGGACAGGGTCTCTGCCTGTTGCCCTGCAGGTGTGTTTGGCTGCCCCACCACCGTTGCCAATGTGGAGACGGTGTCTGTGTCCCCCACCATCTGCCGCCGTGGGGGTGCCTGGTTTGCCAGCTTTGGGCGGGAGCGCAACTCAGGCACCAAACTCTTCAATATCTCGGGTCACGTCAACCACCCATGCACCGTAGAGGAGGAGATGTCAGTGCCGCTGAAGGAGCTGATTGAGAAGCACGCGGGTGAGGTCCGAGGCCAGGCGGGTGGGTGGGGGCCTCAGGACGGGCGCTGCTGACAGGCCTGGTCCTGTTCAGGCTGCTCAGTGTGCTGGCCTCAGCACTGACCATCCATCCTTTTGGGGACTGACCGGGGCCCCAGGAGGTGTCACGGGAGGCTGGGACAACCTCCTGGCTGTGATCCCCGGTGGCTCGTCTACCCCCCTCATCCCTAAGTCCGTGTGCGAGACGGTGCTGATGGACTTCGATGGACTGGTGCAGGCACAGACAGGCCTGGGCACAGCTGCGGTCATTGTCATGGATCGCTCGGTAAGCCTCACCTCATGCCTGCCTTCGTGCCTGCTGCCCCTGCCTGGCCTTCTCTGAAACCCAGGTGTGCCAGGGGTAGAGGTGGGGCTCACTGGGCTGCGTGGGGAGATTCAGAACTGGGGAGGGGGACTGGCTCCCTGACCTTGAGCCCCTTGTCACCCCAGACGGACATCGTGAAAGCCATCGCCCGCCTCATTGAGTTCTACAAGCACGAGAGCTGTGGCCAGTGCACCCCGTGCCGTGAGGGTGGGTGCCCGGGCCAGTAGGGCCTTCCCTTGTCCCACTTTGTCCCACCTTGGGCACCAGCCCTGAACAAACAGCTGCTGTCTCCAGCCTGCTAGGGGGCTTCTTTTAGCCCCACCCTCATGGCCCTCACCCTGGTGAGGGAGACCACCAGGCCCCTCTTGGCCCCACCCCCATGACCCTTACCCCAGTGGGAGAAACCACCAGGTCCTTCTTAGCCCCACCCCATGACCCTCACCCCGGCGGGGGAGACCATCAGGCCCCTCTCCATGTGACTGCAGGTGTGGACTGGATGAACAAGGTGATGGCACGCTTTGTGAGGGGTGACGCTAGGCCAGCCGAGATCGACTCCCTGTGGGAGATCAGCAAACAGATTGAGGGCCACACCATCTGCGCCCTGGGTGACGGGGCCGCCTGGCCTGTACAGGTACCCACCGCCAGCTGGATGGCACTGGGGGTGCAAGAGCCCAGGGGGTACCCAGAGCTGCCTCACACTGTGCCCCTTCCCCTAGGGTCTGATCCGACACTTCCGGCCTGAGCTCGAGGAGCGGATGCAGCGGTTTGCCCAGGAACACCCGGCCCGGCAGGCTGCCTTATGAGTTCACCCTGTTCTTCTAGAAACTGACAATAAAATGGGCGAGAGTCCTGCCTCTCCTGATGCCGCATCTCAGGCTCTGCTCCCCTGCCACCCCACTGTCATCCTGGCACCATCTCCCGGGTCACAAGTGACTCGGTGCAGCGTGGCGCTCAGTGGGGGCACGGGGCTGGGCTTGGGCATTCAGCACTGCAGCCCCAACCAGTCCCTGTGGCTGAGCTTCTGAGCTGGCCTCAGTGGGCAGGGGCTGTGGCCGTCCCACGGCATAGAAAGGACAGGTGTTGGCTGGGGACAGGTGTTTATTTTTACTTGCAGGTTGGATGGTGGGGTGGACTTCAAAGTGGGGAGGGAGGAAAGCCCCCAAGACCAGGACGAGGGCTCATGGGTCCTGGGGCAGACGGGTCCTGGTTCCCAGGAGCTGGCTGGTCCACTGTGGCCTGGGGTAGACCCAGCTAGTCGCTGAGCTGGAGGGGCACGCCGTCCAGCGGGTGCCACACCTCCAGCCGGTGGTCACTGTGGCCCAGACACTCACACCAGTGCCACAGACGGTCCCCGCTGGCACGGCTGCTCAGCTGTACTCCACCTGGAGTAGAGGGCAAGGGTCAGGGCTGGCCGGGGACTCCTGGGGCCTCCAGGCCTGGCCCTCAGAGCCCACTCACCAATGAAGTCATCGGCCGTGCCCAGATCATAGTCCCAGACAGTTACCAGCAGCGTCTTCTGAGCCAGCTCCTCCCGGCGGCCTGCGTAGAAGAATTCCTGCGGGGAAGGGGTCACAGGTGGGAGGAAGAGGAGATGCTGGTCAATCAGGGGGACAGTTGACAGGTGGGATGCTGGCCTCTTCCCCCCTGCAGCTGAGACTACTGCCCCTCTGGCCCAGCTGACCTCATTGAACTCGGGATTCAGGGTCTTCTTGCGAACACTGGTCTTGTACTTGGATTTCTTCCCCACATTGGGATGCAGAAAACTGATGGGGAGCAGGGGTCAGGTCAGGTGTGTCCCTGGAGAGGTGGAGGGGCTCTGCCCCTGTGCCCACCTGCTTCCCAGGTGGTCACTCACAGGCGGACAAAGGGGTCCGAGTAGCCGTTGGCGTCCATTGGGGCGAGGTGGGTGCAGCGCAGGATGCCCACCAGCAGGCCGCCCCTCTGGGAGCTGTAGCAGAGAGACAGCAGAATGCGCCCCCGCTCATCCCCAGCCTCCTCTGCCTCCATCTCCTGTGGGTGGGACCAGGGCCATCCATCAACAGCAGTCCTTCGCGCCCACCATCCACTCACCTACCCATCTGGGCAGACCAATGACGTCCTTGCACAGTTCCCGGTCCAAAGATGGTCACTGTCCCAGGAGCTATGGGGTCTGGGGACTGATGGTCTCTGAGCACCACATGGCCTGGGTGCCCACCCTTCGTCCTGAGTCATGGGAGTCACATGGGCCCAGCATTCCCACATCACCCGCACTGCACTACTTTGCCTCCTCTGCCTGGGGATCAGACTGATTGTCCTTTTCTACAACCTGGCCCCTGGTGCTCCCTAAGAAGATGACGTCAGGGGCACCCCTCTCCACTTCTGAACTATGGTTCCATTGGCAGAGAGCTTGGCCCCCTGCCCCCAATTCCTGATGGAGAAGTACTCTGAACCCTCATCACAGGCTTAGGCACAGGAAGTGGGTGCCACTGAGTGCTCCACCTCAGTGGGCGTGGGCGCAGTCAGCCTGGGCTTGAGCAGCAGGCGCTGCAACAACACATAGCTGCATTAGGGGGCGATAGTACCAGGCTCTCAGTCTGGAGGGGAGGGGAGCAGGGCGCTCCCATGGGCCTTGCAGGTGCCACTGGGGGTCTGATGGGGCTACAGCAGGACAAACAGTTGCCCCACTGCCCCCCAGACAAGGGCTTGTCTGGTGCTGCCAGTCACATGACCCCAGAGGCAGACCCAGCAGCTGAGGAGCCCCTAACCCCTGTTTCTTCTCCACCCTCTCCAGGCCACCTAATTCAGGAGGGGAGACCTCTGGGACTGTCTGGATCTGTTTTCCAGTGGCTCTGAGCTCTGCCCTCTGCAGGTTCTGTGTCCTGCGTTTCCCTGGGGCCACGGGGGCGGTTGCCCTCAGTTCTTGTTGGGGAGCTTACAGGTCCTATGAGAAAGATGGCCTCTACGCCCCCTGCCCACCACCCCCAGACCTGCCCAGCTCACTTGAGCTTGGCTCACAGACACACCCTGGCCAGCCCACCCCCACCAGCTCAGACCCACCTCCTCATATACAGACATGCCTCGGGCTGTGTCCAAACTCTTGGGCCTTTTGGTCTGAAAGAGCAGAGACCCCCCCCCCCCAAAGTCACTTTGGCAAGACACTGCCCAGATCCCATCCCTGACTCCAGCTCCCCAGCTGATGTGTGACTCCTCTCCTGGGGGCCCCAGCCTAACTCACCAGCCTTCGCTTCTCCAGACAGACGTCGAAGCTCCGAGCACGGTTGGGCACCAGCTTCCTCAGGGGCACCCGCAGCTCCCCAAGGGGGGGTGCCCGCCGACGTCGCCGCAGTCGAGGGTCCTCGCACACACACAGCCTGGTGGCCATCTTGGTCAGTCCTGGCCAGGCGAGGTGCCCCCCATCCCCCCTGCCCCTGCCCCACAGGGACACCAGTCCTCACCGCAGGGTCTTGCGCCCCGCATCCTGGCGGGTAAAGCCATGATAGGTTAGCGTCTCTTCCCAGACTGGACCCCGAGTGCCCCTCACTGTGCGCGTGCGCAGCTGGCTGGCCTGGAGGAAGAAGACAGATCAACACCCACCCTGGTCCACCCTCCCAGCCTCCCTGATAGGGCGTCCTAGTTCAAGCTGACCAGCAGCTCCTTGGGAACTCTATGCAGGGTCAATATGGGTCAGAACTGACTTGACAGCACTTAACAACAGCTCACACATCTCAGCAATAGGGGGCTCTGGGCTGAGTGTGGTTGAGGGATAGTGATGGGGGTCTGGGTCCTACCCTCACCTTGCTGGCGCCCGGAAGCAGATTGGCCTTGACATAGGTGTCCACAGAGCCGGAGGCTGGTGGCTTGAGGCCCTGGTTACAGACAGTGGGTGTGGGCAGGCCGGTGACCCAGCCGGTGGCCTAGGGTCCCCAAGCCATCCTCACCTTGGCACGGTGGGCCGTGCAGTGCAGGGCACTGTTGTCCTCGTCGAAAAGCAGTGTGAATTCCAGCGTGCCCAGGCCAGCTGAGAGCAGGTGGCAAGTAGGTCAGTCCCACCCGGCTCCCAGCGCGCCCTCCACCCACCAGACCAGGCACCCAGGCCCACCCTAGCCCCTCTCACCGCTGTCGTCCGAGTCGCTCTCTGCCTCCAGGTTAGGATGGAACTGGGCTGCAGGGCCAGTGGCGGGGGCTACGGGGCGCGGGCCGGGGGCTCGCCGGACGGGCTCGGCGAAGGGGTAGAAGTGCGGGAAGTAGTCGGAGATGAGGCGGATGGGCCGGATGGGGCCCGGGCTCACGTCGATGGCCATGTGTTCCTGCATGCTGACGCGTTGTGGCCGCCGCCAGCCCGCTGCCGCCGGGGCCGCCATGGAGACACTGACATCAGCAGCTCAGAGCGAACCCCGCGGGCCTGGTGGCAGGGCAAGGGACCCTACCGTCGGGACGGGACGACGGGGCATCGCCAAATACGCCGGGACCTGCAGACAGAGCGCGGGGTCACAGTGGCACGGGACTAGGAATGAAGTGGGGGCGCTCCAGCCTGCGGCCCGGTGGGGTTGGTGTAAGGCCGGCTGGGTCACTCACCGCTCTGAAAACCCCTTCCACCGGTTCAGTCCGTTCCTAAAGTGGGTGTGCGTTTGGGCTGCAGAGTCGTGACGAGGTGACCTGTGTGAACCTCAGTGCGTTCGATGGGGGCCCCAGGAGCCCGCGGGGTGGGGGCCGTACCCAAGCCCAGGGCACGTGGCACCTCCCAACCTTCCCTCCGGAGCCCCTCCCTAGTGCTGGGGCTCAGCCTCCCACTCTAACCCCGTTCACGCCCCCCTTCACACATTCTGTCAAAGGGAGTTATTTTTACCACCATCATGTGGCCCTGAAGGCCAGAGGTGACGAATGTGGCGTGGGGACAAGGGAGGGGTGGGTGTGAAGGAGATGTCTGGTGAGGGGGGTTGGGGAGGAGGGGCCGGACCATGGAAGAGGGGCCATGGGGAGCTAGGGCAGTGACCTTGTGCGGAAAGGGTTGAGATGGGCCTCGGCGGGGAGGAGCCTGACCTCAGCCAGCTCAAACTTTAAAATTGTGAATAAGAGCACTTCGCGTGCACACAGAGCTTAGAATAAAACCTTCTCTGTGGCTTTTTCCTGTGGCCGGTGCCCTGCTCCCCTCTACTGCCCATCCCATTTCCACATTGCTTTGCTGGATTCCTTGAACACACACAGTGGGGTTCACATTCACAAAGGAGTTTGCTCCTTCCTGGACTACACCCTCTGATCTTTTACCTGGATGGTCTTGGTTACCTTCAGTGTCAAGATCCCTCCCTGTAGCCACTGTGGCTGGCCTTACCTGCCCAGCAGCATCCTTTCCCCATCCTCACCCCTCTAATAGTCCTTTGTTATTTAGTGCCATTGAGTCAACTCAGACCCATAGGGACCCTGTATAGGGTTTCCAAGGGGTAGCTGGTGAGCTTGAACTGCTGACCAGGCAGTTCTAATGGCTTTGCAGTCTGGTACATTAACCCACAGTGCCACACTTTTGGGGCCACCTTTTCCCTACTCAATCCAGAGGGTCTCATCCTCATTCCCAGGCATGCGTAGTACCTCCAGTCCTGTGGATCCAACACTCCAACTAATGGATTTCAGAGGGCATGTGATCTAAGGTACACCAATGAAGTGCAATTGTGGGTTAGACTGGCCAGTTTTCTGTTGATGGGAAGCTGGTACCAATGCCGTCCTAGAACTGACCCTCCTCATCTCTCATATCCTCTGGAGTAGGGATGAGGCCAGCGCAGTAGAAAGTACAAGAGGAGAGAACCCGGAAGTTACCACATCCCTGCGTTTTGTAAGCTTGCAAATTTGACACACAAATTTGTGAAATGTTTATATTTGTATGTATTGTAGTCCTGGTGTGATGCTATTGGATAAAGCATGCAAGCTCAGTTTGAATCACAATGTCGATGACTGAAACTCACCAGCTGCTCCTTGGAAACCCTATACTGGGTTGCTATGAGTCAGAACCGACTGAGAGGCACTTAATTCGTTTTTGCATGGACTCTTGGTGTGGCACTGTAGGTAGGATAAGCACTGGATGGCTAACCTTAAGGTCAGTGGTTCAAACCCACCAGTCGCTCCTCAGAAACCCTGAACAGGGTCGCTATGAGTCAGAACGACTTGACAGCACTTGAGAACAGTAATCATTAACTATTATCTATATAACATTCAATATATAATCAGCTCTGGTAGCGTAGTGGTTACGAATCGGGCTGCGAACCTTAAGGTCAGCAGTTCAAAACTACCAGCCGCTCCGCGGGAGAAAGATGAGGCTTTCTACTCCCGTAAAGATTTACACCCTCGGAAATCCTGTACAGGGTCGCTATGGGTCGGAACCGACTCGATGGCACTTAACAACAACAACAAGTAATTGGCCCAAGGTCTCCCCAGACTGCAAGCACCCTCCATCCTCAAGGACGGGGCAGCATCTGGCTGGTTCTCAGATGTGTCCTCAGTAGGTGGTCAATGTATTAGAGCTTTACAATCCATTCCAGGGTGCTGCTTCCCATTACTGCTGGTTGGATTTCTGGTATCCCTCAGCAAAAAAGCGGGAAGAAAAACACAACACCTGGGAGGTTGGGCTCTGGAATCAGAGACCTGGTTCAAATCCAAGCTTGGGGTGACCTCAGGCAAGGTGTCCATCTTCCCCAACCTGGGAGCAGCGTCGGCCCTGCCTCTCAGGGCTACTGAGGGTAAATGAGGGAAGTGGATCCAGCCCCAGCCACATAGTAAGCACTCAACAAACACCCCCACTGAGCTAACAACAGTGAGAGGTTCCACTCGGGGTCAGGGCCAAGGTATGGAAGGAGCAGACGCCAGATTTGGGAATGGTTCTTTATTCAGTCCTGAAGTGGAACCCCACTGGCTGGAGAAGGCAGGAGCTGCTGGGAACCGGGCCCTTAGCTCCTGGGTATCCTGAAGCCGGCCAGGCGAGGCTGGTAGGTGTCCGGTGCCAGCAGCTGCAGGGCAAACTCCGTGATGACAGCGGTGAGCCCCCAGATGCGGTGTGGCCCATGCAAGAAGACAGGCAGTGTGTAGCGGTAGTGACCGTGTTGGCAGAAGTGAGTATAACCTTGGTTCTGAGCCTGCAGCAGGTGGGCCAGCGGCAGGACAAACACTTCATCCACCTGTGGGCAAGAGGCAGGGGGGTTAGACAGAGGACAAACTGCTGCCACCTGCTGGAACACCCCTGACCCCCAGGACTCCCTGCTCACCTCCTCTGGGTTGGGCCTGAGACTCTGAGGATCCATGGGGCCCACACTGGCAAGCACAGGTATCACGGTGGTCTTTTGCTGGGCAGGAGGAGGGCAAATGTCAGAGCAGGTAAGGGTCTTGGACTCGGGGAGGAGAACCTGGGAGAAGATCCCCCTTGCCTTCTGGAGGCCACATTCACCCAGCCCTGCCAACTGACTTGAAACCCCTCTGTACTGGACCAGTATAGGTCTCTGGTTCTTTCTAGACTGTTCCCCCGACTTAGATCAGCCTGCCCTTACCTTTCACTACCCCCAAATTCCCTCTGTTATTCCAGACCCTGCTCAGTCGCAGTCTACCCTGTGAGCCCTTCCTCGAACTTCACCCACTAAGCTGTGACTCACCCCTTAGCTCTTGGACCACCCTCCACTGACCTGAGCCTCAGTTTCCATATCTGTCACACACACAAAAACAAATCCATTGCAGTCAAGTCCAACTCAAACTTATAGCCACCGAACAGGACAGAACAGAACTGTCCCATAGGGTGTTGGCATCTTTGTGGAAGCAGACAGCTTATCTTTGTCCTGAGGAATGACTGGTAGGTTCTAATCACTGATTAGTCAGCAGCTAGCTGCTTAACCTACTGTGCCACGGGGCTCTTTGCCACAATGGTGGCTAGAAATGCCCGCCGCCAAGGGCTGATGCAGGTATGAATTAAGTGCATGTCAGGCAGGTTGGGAGCCAACCTCTAGCCCTGATGGCATCTAGGGCCCCTCCCCTTGTCCCTGGGGTCCCGCCTTCTAGCCCAGCACAGACACAGGTCACAGCAGCACTCATGGGATCTGGCAGACGGTGGTCTCCGGGCCTGGTGTGGTGGGCTCACCTGGTTGTGCACAGGGTGCAGGATCCCCCACACGTGCTGCTCAGGTACCACCAGGCCCAGCTCCTCCAGGGTCTCCCGCAGGGCCGTGTGCACCACGTCCTGGTCAGTGGGGTCACACTTGCCACCTGGGAAACTGAGAAGATACAGGAGAAGAATCCTCGGGTTGTTAGGGCCACGGAGGGACAGGGGCATGGGCTCTGGTCTTTGCAGCGGTAGTGGTGAAGGGGCGCACTGGAACCATCTTCTGTCTTTATCTTTGTTTGTTGTGAGACTGAAGGCAAGTCACATGACCGCTGGAGAGTCAGTTTACTTCCCTGGTACGGATGATGACAGCTAGATCCCCTCTCAGCCCAAGTTGTGCAAGGTGAGATGTGACCTAGTATTTGGGGCAAGAGGAACCTACAGCTGAGATACCTTAAATGGGGTCTACGGTGGTCCCAGTGGTTATTGACCCTAGGGTACCCCCAATTTCCTACTGGGATGGGGTAGGGACTTGAGACCCTACAGCCCGGTGTGTCCTTGGTTCCTGGAGTTTGGAACCCACATTGGCCAGTAAGGAATGGGGTCCTGCCTTTTAGAAGGAGGGAAACAGCTCTGTGGTGTCCCCAGCCCGAGGTGGAAGGAGAGGCGCGGTAGCTCACAGACCCATTTTACAAAGACAGAAACTGAGTCGCGGAGAGCCCGGCAGCTCCCTCCGACTCAGAGAGGACGTCCCGGCCGTGTACCTGACCTCGCCCTTGTGCTTTCCAGTCATGCGTCTGGATCGCAGCGTGTAGAGCAGCCCCGGGACCCCGCGCACCAAACACAACGGCACGAGCACGGCAGCCGCTGCGGCCTGCGCTCGGTACCGGGCAGTGGCCCCCGCCAGCAGCTGCCGGCAGCGCCGTTCGACCTCCGCGGACAGATTGTCAAGCACCATGTCCGGCCAGCACGCGGCCGGGACACCCAGGGCACCGCCACGGCGGAGTTGGGTCTGGAGGCTCCGCCCTCCCCGCCCACCACGTGAGCCTCCGGGGCAGAGCGAGGTCTGTGGATGGGGCGGGGTCGCGCGGGAGCCCGGGTTAAATTCCGTAATAACAGTGAGATGGCGTCGGGGCGGGGCCTGAAAGGAAATCGGAGGGAGGGGCGGGGCCTATAACAGAGGCTCCAATGGAAATGACTGAAGAGTTGCGGGAGGCGGGGGCGGGCCTGGAAAGGGCGTGGTCCTACGGTCCTGGGGCGGGGCGGAGCCTGAAGTGAAGGCGGTGGGAGAGTGGCTGGAACTGCGAGTTCATAGAACTATTCCGGCCGCGGAAAACCGGGCGACCAGACCCGGTCCTTCAGATCGCGGTGTGCTGGACTCGGGTCTCTGGCTGTTGAGACCCTGTATCCCCTCGCCCTTAGCAGTGTCTGTCCTTCAAAAGGTGTGCAGAGTCGGGCTCACGGGTTCCTTCCCCGCGGCTCCGCTGGGTGGCGCGCAGCCTCTAGCCTTGTTTTCCAGTCCAGCTCCCGCCGTCCTGGCCTTTGTCCCGCCTTTCTCCCGCGACTTGAAACTCCTTTCCCCTATTCCCTCTCGCCGTTCCTATTCCTTCCTTTGTTGTTAAGTGCCGTCTAGTGGATTCCGACTCATTACGACTCTGTATAGGGCTTCCAAGGAGCAGTTGGTGGGTTTGAACCGCCGATCTTTAAGTTAGCAGTCCAGTGCTTAAATGGTGCTTTCTCTAGGAAGCTCTGTTTCCTCATTCACTCTCATCGGATTCCCAAATTACACCGGTGGGCACTTTCGCTGGGGCCCTCTACCTTTCCTACCGGAACTCCTCCAGGGCCAACCTCAGGCTGCTTACTTTAGCTACACGTGGAGTGGCAGGGGGTGGCCCTGCTTTCCTGGCTTTGATAGCGTAGTGGTTACGAATCGGGCTGTGAACCTTAAGGTCAGCAGTTTGAAACTACCAGCCGCTCCGCGGGAGAAAGATGAGGCTTTCTGTTCCCATAAAAATTTACAGACTTTGTACAGGGTCGCTATGGGTCGGAACTGACTCAATGGCACTTAACAACAACAACAAACAGGAAGGTGCGCTGGTGGCACTGTGGGTTAAATGTAGGCCTGCTAACTGCAAGGGAGAAAACTGAGACTGTCTACTGCCAAAAAGATTTAAGATTGCAGTCTCGGAAGCCCTAAGGGACAGTCCTACGCTGTCCTTTAGGATCCTGAGACAGAATCAGCTCTACAGCAGTGGGGTTGGTTTTGTTTTTGGTATGAACATCAAAACAAAGCAGGAGGTCCAGGTCCCCTCAGTCTAGCCACTCAATCTGTGTCACCATCCCCTGGGATGCAGCCGCATTGAGCAGAGCTTTGGGGCCACCACAGGGCTGAGGCAGGGACTGTCCCCAAGGCCCCCAACCCCAACCGAGAATACAGAATGCTCTGACCACGCATGCCAAATGATTTAATGCAGGGGTCAGGGCGGGAGGGGAAGCAGGATTTGGGAAGTCGTCTCTAAGGTGAAGGGGGTGAGATTCTCCAGCCCAGAGTTGGGAGCAAAAGGTCTGGTTCCGAGTCTGGACAACAGATCCCAGGCTGTGACCCTGGGAAGGCCTCCACGTGCCTCAGCCTCCTCAGTAGAGGAGAGGTCTGGTGGGGACAGGTGAATGAAGGTAGCTGCAGAGATGGGGCTGGTGGGGGTCAGGCAGAGGGTGATGGAGGTCCTTCTCACTGTGGGTCCTGGCCGGGCCCTAGGCATACAGTAGTGGAGGACAGGAGCCCCAGCCCTTCTGGGAGGGGCAGACCCCCTTGATCCCTGTCAGCCTGGATGTTGGGAAGAGGGTATGGTGCTGATCGGGCTCTTGGGATCCCAAAGGAACTTGGGACTCCTGGGTACAGACTCTGGTAGGTGGGAGGGCGATAGGTGGCTGGGGCCAGCAGGGCCTCAGGGGGTGCCAGCTGTTGATGGTTGAGCGCAGAGGTCCTTGAGGTGGAGGTTGGAGCTTTGCTGAGATCTGCGGGAGGAGATGATCTGAGTAAATTGTAGACTCCCCCTCTTCCTGGCCCTGCCCTTTCCAGGTTCCTGCTCTTCCCATTGTTGGCCCAGGCTTTTCCTCTGCTTGGAAGTGTCTCCCCATCCCCCAGGTCCACTGGTTCCCAGAGGGTCTGCCAAGCATGGGGAAGTCCCGGTGGCCCTGAAGCCTGTCTCCTTGTTTCCTCCCACCATGCTCTGGTCCAGTTATGTCAGTGACCTGGGGGCTTACCTGTCTCCTGCTCTGTGAGACCCTTTATCAGATAGGGACGGAGACTGCTATGACCCCGTGGTGGGATGCTCTGCAGGGGCCGTGGGGACACAGGCCTGAGAAGGAGCAGGAGTGGGGGGGTCAAGGTGAAGAAACCCAGAGCAGAGGTCATGGTCAGAGTTGGGCGGGAAACAAGAGAAGTCAGAAGGCAAGACATCAGGGCCAGGAGTCAGGAATCAGGGTGGGCCCTGAGGGCAGCGGGCCAGAGGCTTAGGAAATGCCTGGGAGGGGCTGGGGTGGGGTTTCGGCTGGACCAAACTGGCCAGGACCTATAAGTACCAGGAGTCCTGGTCACTCTCTCTAAAGCCCTTGGCAAAAGGATTGCTGGCGATTTTCAGCTGAGTAATCTGCAGAAGAGAGAGTGTGGTGATGAGACAGCCCTGAGCCAGGGAAAAGTTGTGGTCGCCACGTCCAGCCACCCTGTCCTCCCTGGACCTTCTCCCAATCCCGAGTCCCTAGAGCCCAGACCCCTCAGCTCACAGACTCTGGAGCTGGGGGTATAAAGGCAGGGAGATGAGGAAGCAGATGCCCACTGAGTCCCTCCCTATGAAGGAGGACAGGGCAGGGGCTGCCCGTTGGTGGATGAAGATCCTGGGGCCTCAGTCTCTGCTCTTGGGAAACAGGCTGTGGGCCTGACCCACCCGGTGGTTCTGGTACGCTGTCACGGCGGTGAACTGGGTCTCCGTGAAGATGAAGGACTTGAAGTTCTCCTGGGCATAGCGTTCACTGTCCTTCCGTGGGTCCACAAAGACCACGTGGAAGCGGGGCTGGTAACGGTGCATGGAGTTGAGGATGATCTGGGGGTTCAGAGCAGACCCTTCCTCAGGGCAGAAAGGGACACAGAAGGACAGTAGGGTAGGAGGGGAGGGCAGCCCAGCTGTGCTTGGTTTCTGAGCCTTCTTTTAAATGGGACACCCACATCCGAACAGTCAGCTTTAGATCCCAGAACTCCCTGGGATCTAACCACCTCTCCCACCCACGGCTTCCACGCCTCCCAGCTACCATCAGCTTTCTCTGTGTTCCCTCAGCTGTTCCCTGGCTGCCTCCAGCTCACCCCACATCCATTCTACACACAGCAGCCCTGGCAGACTCATCCTGTTACCCCCTAGTCTGCCCCCCAAAGCCCCCCTCCCACCCAGAGGAAAGGTCAGACCCCTTCCCATGGTCAAACAAGCTCTGCAGGCCCCAGCCCACTGCCTCTGGAATCTTCTCCCACTTCCCACCTCTGTCCACTTCAGGCACATGTGGGGAGGGAAGGGCTCCTTCAGTTCCTCCAAGTCCCCCACCATTCTCTGACCTCAGGGCCTTTGCACGGGAACAGCTCCTCCTTCGATGGACATAGGTTCCCTCCTCACCTTCAGATCTCTGTTCTAATAATATGGCCTCGCCCTGACCCCTCCCCAGTGAAACAGCCACTCTCCATCCCCACCCCCTTCCCTGGCTCCGTTGTCTCCTTGGCGTTCATCACTGTCTGGTTCCATATTTGCTGCCTGTCTTCCCTCCCCACCCTGTGGTTTGATTCTGACCACATGTGGATGGAGCTGTGGTCAGTACCCTCAGAGGCCTGTCCCAGGGGAGACAGATGGATTTCTCCAGGTGGACTGTCAGTAAATGCTCTGGGGCAGTGTGGCTGGGTGGTGGTGGACCGCATGTGACCACATGCAGTCTCCCACCCCCACCCAACCTCCCCTCAGCTGGCTGGCTTCAGCCAAGTGGGCACCAAGGCCATGGGGGTACCCAAGGCCTTAGCAGGCAACCCCCAGCCCTCCACATCCTGGCCCAGGCCCTCCCCACTGTGGCCCGGGCCTCACATGACCATTGTTGTCTAGCAGGTTGTTGGTTAGCTTGAGCTTGTCGAAGGACACAATCTGGCGCATCCACTGTGCACCCTTGGCTGGCGAATCGGGGTGGAAGTGCACACGGCCGGGTGTGACAGGGTCTGCCTTACCAGCCACCAGCCACGCAGAGCTATGGAAGGAGTACCTGGAGAGCAAAGCTAGGTGGCCAAGGTGCCCATCTCCTCTCACACCCCTGGCCCCTCAGCCATTGTCCCCACCTGGAGCCATGCCTGGCCAAGACTGGTGAGGCACAGGGGCCATCGCTGACTCCCCCGCCTGCCCCGCCCCCGCCGGTGCCGGCCCTCTTAGTGCGCCCATCCTAGTGTGAGGTCCCGGGTACAGGGGAGCAGTCTGCAGATTGGAGAACTTGAGGCCCAGAGACCATTCTCAACCCTGACATCCCTGTGGCTAACCCTGCTGCCCCAGGCTAGCTTCTCTGTCTGCTGCCCCAAGCTGGCCCACTGCCCCAGGTGGGCTTCTGTCCATGTCAGACTTTCTGCACTGGCTACCCTTCTGCTATGAGACTAGGCTGGACACCCCCCAAACACACACACATGATTCAGATCGTCTCCTGCCCTGGGCTCAGCACCTGAGACCCGAGTTCCCCCTGGGTCAGCCCAGACCTGTATCTCTTGTCATCCAGGGGGACAAAGTCCATGAGCAGAGCGTAGTCGGCCAGCCTGTCCATGCCCAGAATCTTCACCTGGAAGGTGGGGAACATCCTCCTGTGGGAGGCAGGTACTCCACAACCCCGCCCCGCCCCATCCTGCCCCGCCCCCTCTTGTCCCGCCCACTGCCCCCACCTGCCCGCTTTGGTGACGATCATCTCTGTGCCCAGCTGGTTGAACTCCTCCCACAAAGACTTCATCTCCAGTTGCACCGTCACGCTGGACACGCGAGGGTTCTTGGGGTCCTGCCCAGAAGGTTTGGCCACGGCTGGGGTCCTGGAGGAGCCGGTGTCAGGGCCTGCCGGGAAGGGCGGGCCCAGCCTGGGCTCCCAGCTGGAACTGGCCACCGGCAGAACACAGGACTCAGAGGGTGTGAGGGCCCTGAGGCCGGAGGAGAGGAAGGCTGGGGAGAGAGGAAGAACCATGGGTGCTGCCCACTTTACCCTTCCCCAACCTTCATCCTGGGGCCGTACGTAGACACCTCCACCTCCAGGAAGCCCTCCCTGACTGCAGACGTCTGTGTCCCCACAGGAACTCCCTCAGTCTGTTTCCCAGCAAGCTACTGGGTGGCAGGCTTCATGCCAGTCTTGCTCCCAGGGCATCTTGGAACCACTCACCATGGGTCCTTGTGACCTGGAGCCAATTGTGGTACCTCTCAGAGCCCCAGTTTGCACACTTGCCATGGGGGTCCTAGGGACTCGCTCCAGAGCCGCCAGTGAGGAGAGCGGGCCCTCAGAAATGCCAGCTGTACTGCTGTCCAGCTGGTAGAGAGGTCTGCTGGCACTCATGAGGTGGGAAAGGGTAGTGACCAAGAGGAGACCCCGTTAACCACCAGCACCTTTTACCCACACCTGACCTCGAACACCTGCCTTTCTTCTGCCTTTGTTGTTGTTAAGTGCCGTAGAGTTGGGTCCGTCCCATAGTGACCCTATATAGGGTTTCCAAGGAGCAGCTGGTGAGCTTGAACCCCCAACCTTGCAGTTCAAACAGCTTTGCAGTCTGGCGCATTAACCCACAGCGCCACACCAGGACTCCTGCCTTTATTTCATTTTTTCTGTTTGGTCTCACTTCTCTGCAATCCTGGCCCAAGTCTTGGACAAAAACCTTGCTGGATCCCAGTCCCAATTTTAACCTTAACACCAGATCTAGGAGTTCTAAGAAGTTGAGGGCCAGGTGGGGCCAAGGACAGCAGTGGACGAGCCAGGGGACAGGGCTTCCTGCCGAGTGATTTTGGGGTATTTACACCACTATAAATTTGCAGGGTCCCCTGAGCAGAGGTTGGATGTGGCATAGATTACTAGACAGATGGATGGGGGGTGCCTGGAGTGGCAAAGTATCACATGAGGTGACGGGAACAGAGCTGCCCAGGAATGGTGCATAGTAGGTGCTTGTTGGCCCTGTCCCAGAGGCCCCAAGTGTCATTACTATAGCGCCCAGGATTTCTGCAGTCTGGAGGGTGGGCTGGAGTGGGTCTCTCCCGGAAGCCCTGAGAGAAGTGGACCACAACAGGGCTGCACCCCAGAGGACCTGGAGCCTGTGGATGAGGCACTGTTGTCCTGGGGACCGATGCCAGCCCCCAAGGGTCCATGGTGAGGGGTCCCAAAGGGGTAGGGCTCATGGCTTTGCTGGGCACGGAGGTTTCTCAGACCCCAGCTGCCCAGTGTCCTGCAAGTCCAGCCACTGCCTGGCTCCTCAGCATTCTCAGGAACTCGGGATAGGGTTAGCCAGGTTTGAGTGTTCTCTGCCCAGGCCCCCTGAAGGCCAGCCTTGGACAGTTTCCAGAGAGGCCCAGGTCTGGAAGGGAACTGAGGGACCTTTGGTCTGTGCCAAAGATCGCAGACGCCTGGTGGGACCTCACCTCCCAGAAACGGCTCTGACCCCCACCTGTCAGTCCCCGTCTTTGCGCTTGAGCAGCCCAACCCTGGAGTGCCCCCTGCCCAACCCCTTCCCAGAGGCTGCAGTCCAGGGGACTCCATGCTCTCCAAATCTAATACCAGCCCTGCCCCACCCACCTGCCCACTCAGGGGTCTGCCTTGCCACCTGCACCCTACCTGCCATGGAGCCACCAGCCTGGAGGGACCCTGCTCAGCTGGAGTCGGCTGCACAGCCACCTGAGGGAGCCAGCCTGCGGGAGGGCAGCCCAAACCCTCCTGGTTTCCACGTCCACTTGGCGGCCACAGCCCAGTCCTCAGAGGCCCATGCAGTCCCGTCTCCTCAAGATTGTCCTTCCCTCTCGACTGCCCTCTATCCAAGTCTTTGGGTGTCTTCTCCCATCTGAGCTGGCACCTGGTCTCAGCATGGGACCCTGGCTCTGGGGTAGGCAAGATCCCTCTCCAAGCTACCCTCTCAGACAGTCCGGTCTGAGGGCGGTTGTGGGCGGAAGCTGTGCGGTGGAGGGCAGGTGGGAGGCTCTGACGTGGCAAGCTTCCCCTCCGCTCCCCAGCTGAGCGCCCCCAGCCATTCCAGATCAATGGACTCCCGCACAGGGCAGGGGCTCATCTCAAAGAGGGGCAAGGTGGTCTGTATGGAGGCTGGGGTGGTGGGGAAACAGCAGCCTCCAGGACTGAATGGCCTCTCACCAGGGCTCAGACCCCTGACCTGAGGCCAGGGGCGCCCAGTCAGCCTGCTGGTGTGCATTTGCTGTGGAGCTTGGGGCGGGGGGGCCATGCAGCAGCAGCTGATGCTGTTCAAGCCCCCAGACTGGGGGTGGGGGGCAGGAAGCCAGCTCCGGACAGTCAGCCCAATGTACTTGGTGCCTCAGTTTCCTCAACTGACCTAAGAATGTAGTGTAGTCTCTTTTGCTTGGGTGGTCTGACATGGGTGATGGGGCCCAAGCTAGCTTCATGCTGAAGCTGGGGTCCCCCATCAGGGTGAGAACGGAGATGAAACTGCTCCTGTTAGATACCTCTGGGGTGGGCATCTGCTCTGTCTGTTGTCTGCCCGTCTTCTCTGGCTGGATGAAATGCCTCCTCCAGGCTGCTCCCAGCCTGTCCCAGGGCTGGGCATTCAGAGGACACAAGGAACACTGATGAGGAGGGCAGGAGGGGAATCCTCTTGAGTGGACACCAGCCCCTTAATTGAGGGTACCCTCAGGCCATGTGAGTGGGGTCAGGGAGCACCCCAAACTAGAGCACTGGGTGCCGCTCCATTGATGGTGGTCTCAAGGTGAGTGGGACCTCCCCTAAACCTCCTCCTGAGTCTGGTGCTGGGGACATGGGGGTGGCAGGAGTGGGGCCTGAGAAGGGGTGTTGGAGGGGGTCAGGTATCTACCACTCTGGCCCCCGTGTCCCGGTCACAGCCTACAGAGCTGCTGAGCAGGGGGTGGCCCCTGGAACAGACCCACACCAGCTGTAGGGAAGAAGGCTGAGAGTCCATGCTGGACAAGATGGGGTCTCCAACAGTTCCCAACACTACCCAGAGCCACAGTGGGGTGAGTGAGTTTCTAGGAGAGGTGGAAATGGCTCCCCTCAACTCAGACATCCCAGGTGGGCCAGCCTGGAGCCCTATGGGCTCCTGACACATGTGTAGTTTATATGTGCACGTACCCACAAATACCCATACACACTCACACACACACACCAAGCAGACTAGCTAGCCCCTCTCCTTCCCCCCACCCCCTGCTCCCCACACTGGCCCTTCGTGCCTGAGGCTCTGTCTGCCCCCTGCTCCCTCATCCATCTTCCCTGCCAGCCCATCCCTGGTGCCTTCATATCCTTCACACCTTCTCATCTCGCTGTTCAATACCAGGAGGCGGTGTGTCCGCCACGCGCCGCGGGGAGATGGATGGCCGGGGAAGGGGGTGGCCACGAAAGTCAGTTCTGGGCTCCAGAATCCTGCTGTCCAGCCAGGCACAGTGCCCTGGGAGCTTCCAGCAGGTGTGGCCGAGGTGAGGCTGTAGCCCCTGATGCTCCTAGCCCTCCCAGGTTAGGGACCCTGCCAGGGACCCCACACCCTTGAGCTGAGGAGAAGCATCCCCTGATGGTGGCGAATGGTGGAGACAAATCTGAGTGTTCCTGCTCAGACTTTTCTGTCCCAATCCAAGGCACGTCCTCCTGTGTCCTTTCCTCCAGCCTTGACTCACCCTGAATCCTCCTGGGTGCTGTCTTAGACATATAGCCACCCATGTATGCACACAATATGCTGGGAAATGCCTATCTGGACTAGTGTTCCCTCTCCAAGGAATGCCCAAGGACGGAAGGCCCCTGGGAGTGTGTGTGTGTGCAGATTCTCACATGGACAGGTATGTGTGTACATGCATGGGTGCATGCTTCTGCTTTTCCCAGACTTAAGCTTTGGACCCAGGATTATAAGGGGTTGAGGTCCCCCTTTGGGCCATGGCCACCAGCCGCAGGACAGTCCTCCTCACACTGTGGGATCTGCCCCAGTGTACTCTAAACAACTGTAGGCACAGAGACATCACCAGGACAAATAGTACCAGACCTAAAGTCAACTTTCCCTTCTCTCACCCACCGCCAGCCCAGAGAGAAGCCTTGAGGGACAGAGGACATGGTCGTGGACTGGTTTTATAGAATGGGAAACTGAGGCCTGTGGTCAGGTATCAAAGGGTGCCCCCGGATGTGGGACTTTGTCTCAGGACCCATTGCTCAGCTGGGAAGACTAAAGCCCACCAGGTGTGGCCGGGTTAGGGAGCTGGGGTGGAGGTGGGGGTCAGTGCAGGCAAGGCCGGCACAGAGAATGTGAGCTTTTCAGTCTGGATGAAGGCGATGCCCTTCTCGTAGTAGGCAGCCTCATTGATGAAGATGGGGTACACAGTGTCCTTCCCCTCATACTGCACGTCTTTGCCATCAAACATCTGGAAAATGGGTGCACCGGGCTGCAATGGCTCAAAGTCTCGGTCCTGGGAGGAGAGGCAAGGTTCAAGGTGCTGGGACTGACCTCTGCCCCTCACCCCACACACATATTCATTCACCTGTCAATCAAATGGGACAGGGGTCTGATGAGATTCCAACCTGATGTGTTTAGAAATGGGGACACTGGTCACCTTGGAAAGACTTTGGTCATTTTGGAAGAGCAGCCAAGGGATTAGAGGCACAGGCACTGAAGCCTGGGTTCAAATCCTAACTAGCTGTGTGACCTTGGGCAAGTCACTTTACCTCTCTGTTGCTCAGCTTCCTCATCTGTGAAATAGGGATTTTAAGAGGTCTTCCCGCCATTCTGAGGCTTTAATTAAATTAGTTGATACTACAGTGCTTAGAACAGTGTCTGGCACAGAGTAAATAAATACAACGTGAACATTTATAAAATACATTTTTGAATTGTGGGAGAAATCAACCAAAATGACTATTACTACTTATGTCCCTTCCACCACAATGCTATCAGGAAGGAAAAAAAAACCACAAAGCTGTAATAAAAGAATTGAAACATCTAACCTAATTCAGACTTTTCTTACAATTGTTACTGTAATTCACTTGTTCAAATTTGAAGTATCTAATCCTTCCCACTACTCTCTTTTGTGCCCATGCTGACTGAGCCCTTGGCACCTTCTGGGTCTGGCAGCTGACCACCCCACATGGTTGCCACGGAGTGGAGGGTAGATTCCATTTGCCTTGGGAGCTAGAGCACAGCTCTCCTGCTCAGGGGTGGGCGGGGATAATGAACAAGAATGGTGTATGTGTGTGTTTCACGGGGAGGTGTGGTGACCATTTTTGCTTAGCGGTATGATGGCTCCTGAGATGGAAACTTATCCTTGTGTAGCTTCATCATCAGTTGGTTACCTCTGATACTGGGGGGTTCCCACCTGAGTTCTACCAACAGAAGAGTTGGCAGGTGGAAGAGTGCCGGCTGCCTTTGAAACCCCCTAATCCCGGGAGCAAGACGGCAGGGGATGGAGGTAGGGGAATAATACTAAGGAACCTAGGGCTTTGGTGTCCAGCGAGGCACCTTACCACCTGAGGACAAGTGGGAACAAGGACCACGCGCCTGTTTGGATTCTGTTCAACAGCGCTCTCGTGTGGCAGCAATCAGAACAGCGCCTGGGGGGACCACCGGTTCTTTCCACCCATCCCTGGGTCAACGTATAGAAGCAAGAATACCCAATTCCAGAACATTCAAGGTGGGAAAGCCTGGAAGGGAGGCACTGCTCCCTGCTAATGGGCACTGGTAATTATGTAGGTTGGAGGAATTAACTGGAATAGAGAGGGGCTTCTATATCTGAATCCCCAGAGCAGGTGGGCTGGGCCAGGCCTGCCCCACAGCCCCGCCCTCCCTCTGCCTTCTGCCGTGGAGCGCCTTGGAGCCCCCTACTTAGACGCTATGAGAATCACTGTGGCTGGGTGTGGGGGTCCCAGGGGAAGGAAGTAGGGGCCGAGGCCGGAGCTGGGGCAGGAGAGTCATGGGACAATGAAATAGAGCAGATTGGTTCTGCTCGTGGTTCCGAGGCCCTCAGGGGGGCTTCACCCTCATTTTCCGACATTCCTGACACCACCTCCCAGGTTGTGACGCCAGGGATCTCGCCCTCACACACACACCTGCAACTGAGGGTGGATGGTTCCCGCCAGGTCCCCGTCCTCGGTGCGTGGAAAGTCCACGCGCCTTACGGTGCTGTACGCCTCCATCTCAAAGGCTGGAAAGTCGGTGCCTGCGTGGGGACACCGTGTGAGAGAGCCCCTCCTCCACGCCCGGGACGGAGTGAGTGCACGTGGGATCACGCAGGACTGGACCCCAGTCTGCCTCGTGAACCTGGCTCCCCGCCCTTGGGTTAGGTCTGTCCTCACTGGCCTCAGTTTCCCTGTAAGCGCCGGGGGTGGAGGTGGGGGCTCACCCTGGTTAAAGAGTTCAATGAAGTCCAGAACTGCGCCCACTAGGGACCTCATCCGAGAGAAGAGGTCTGCCCGCAGCACGCCCTGGGGTTGGGGGCCCAGCTCCAGCGCTAGGGGGGCGGGGAAAGGGTCAGGCAGGCGTCCTCTTTCGAGAGGCCACGCCCACTTCACAGACCCCCGCCCCACCAGGTCCCCGCCCAGGCCTCCTGGCCCTGCCCACTCCCAGCGGTTCGCGGCCCACCTATTCCATTCTTGGCCACCGAATCTATGGTGTAGCTCTCCTCCCCTGGCAACTGGTACAGGAAGACTGGGCAGGGCAGCTCGGGGGTCTGCAGCTAGGGGTGGAAGGGGTGGCTCAGAACCTCGGCCAATTTGAGAGGGAAGTTTAGGTGTAGGGGGTGGAGGATGGAGGAAACACCGGGCACCGGGTGCTGCCTGCCCCCCTCACACCCCTTCATTCTGCTCTATTGGGTGTCAGACGACGGAAAGAGGAAGCACAGGGCACTCGGTCTGCCTTCACTCCCCTCCCCCCTTACTCTGCCCTCTTGGGGTGGGGGTGTCAGACGACCGGAGTGGCTGCCGCTGGCAGGTCCCAGGGGCTGGGGTTAGGGGAAATGAAGGGTGAGGACACCATCAGCTCTGCTCTGCCCTCGCTGGCCTTGCCCTGGGTTGGAATGAGAGCGTGGTGCACTCGGTCTGGACCACCTGCAGATGCCGGCACAGGTGCATGGCAAACATGTTGTGGGCAGAATCAGCAATGAGGCAGGTCCCCATGTTGGCCGTGGTGTTATGCAGGTCCAGGATGAAGTCGAAGGCCCGGCCAGAGGCCTTTGGGCCCAGCAGCTGGTTCAGCTCCCGGGCCCTGGTCACCTCATACGGGTCATCCGGGGTGGCCCTGGCTCTGTGGGGGCAGAAATGAAGTACAGACCGTGTCATTTCAGTCACCAGCAGTTTAATAAGGGAGGGCAGCTGAACTTGCTCAGGGCTCCTCGTTCATGACTGCTCCTGCTCTCTGCCCTCTTGGGCTCCCTACAGCACCCACAAAACTCCAACCTGTCTCTTGATGTCCATCCGCACCTCTCCAAGCACCACGTTGGCCTCACCTCTAGGCCTTACTGGAGCCATCTCCTCTCCTCTTCACCTGGTTAACTTCTCATCTTTGCAGCTTGGCTGAGCTAAAGGTGAGGCACACTGGGCTCGTTCCGATGTCCCCAGCCCCATCCACACTGCTACTTGTCATGACAGCTGACAGAGTCCATTGAGCCCAGGTACCCTTGGCGTGATGTAACCCCTACCAGTGCTCAGAGGTTCTGTGGGATAAACCTCTCCTTAGGAAAAAGATGAGACTTTCTGTTCCCACAAAGATTTATAGCCTTGGAAATCCTCTACAGGGTCACTATGAGCTGGAAGACTCAGCAGCAATTAACAATCACAACACATATAGATATGGGAGTGTGGTGGTTCCGTAGGATAATTCTTAGACAGTGAATCACAAGGTTTGTGGTTCGAGCCCACCAAAAGATGAGGCTTTTTGCTCCAGCATGTTCTCAGCCTTAGAAACCCTATACAGAGTCTCTATGAATCAGAACTGACTCGATGGCACCTAATAACAACCACTCCTGTGTTTTGTTGTTAAATGCCACCGAGTCACTTCTGACTCATAGTGACCCTGTAGAGGGTTTCAGAGGAGTGGCTGGTGGGTTTGAACCACCCACCTTGAGGTTCAAACCGACCTTGCAGTCCAGTGCATTATCCTGCAGGGCCACACCAAGACTCCCCCTTGATTCTAGTTGTTGGCTTCTTCCTGTCTCCTCCTATAAGCAGAGGACACTACCAGGGTCCTCATCCCCATTCTCGGGCCTGAGTAACAAAATGGCCCTCAGGTAACACTCTGTGACTATCACCGAGGGAAGGTGTGTACTGACTGTCACCAGAGACACAAGACAAGCACAGCCAGTGGGACTGATCTAAGGGGTCTTGGGACTCTGCCTGGGGTCAGGGAGGGCTTCCTGAAGACAGTGACATCATCAGTCCTGGTTTCTCTAAATGGAGAGGAATGGGCAGGGAGGGGAAAGAAAAAACAAAAGTACAGGCCAGGGGAGAGGGGTCAGCTGGTGGCTGGAGGAATTTGTGGTGGGGGCATCCCCAGCCCTGAGGTTACTCACGTCAGAAAGGAGCTGGTGAAGGTTCGGTTGAGGTCTCGGCCCATGTATCGCCGGCAGACAGCCGTGGCCTCTGGATTGGCCAGCACGGGCTTGGCGGAGAAGCTGGGTCTCTGTAGCTCCCCCGGTGCCCGCAGCCAGTGCTGGGCCAGGCAGACTCCAGACATCTCATTACCATGGGTGCCCCCGGTCACGGCCACGTGGCGCAGGGGCTCCCGGGGCACTGGCAGAGAACACATGTCAGTATGGGTGGGGCTTCAGGGCCCTGGGTACAGGTCCAGTGGTCAAAGCGGGCTGGGATGGAGGTTGTAAGCTCCCCGGAGCCAGAGGAGTTCAAGTTGGGCAGAGCAGCTGTCTGTCAAAAGGTGTGGTGGGGTCGTAGCATCAGCTGGATAGAGGAAACATAAAGTCCTCCAAGGTCCCACCCTCAGGGACCTGCTGGAGGTGTCCCACCTGCACTCCTGTGGTCCAGCTCTAGGTCACCCTATGTCTAAGGTGTCCGCTGTCCCTCCATTAGCACCTTTCTTTTGAGCCCTAATGGCGTAATAGGATAAGTGCTTCACTACTAAACAAAAGGTCAGCAGTTCAAACCCACCAGCCACTCCGAGGAGGAACCATAAGGCTATCTGCTCTTGTAAAGATTTACAGTCTCGGAAACCCTACCCTGGGTCGTTTTGAGTCCCAATTGACTAGACGGCGGAGTGGTTTGGTTTTTTGAGAATAAACACTGTTCTCTCCACCCTTCTCTGAGGAGACGTTTTTAAGGTCCAGTTTGGAGAGAGGAAGTTTCTTTTCAGTTGAGAAGAAGGGCCCAGACTTTCAGGGATGTGCAGCCATTGGGACACTCTCTGGATGGGAAGGGGATTGGGAGTCCATTTTACAGATGGGGAAACTGAGGGCAGCATGGAGATTGGAATGTGAGATGGCTGTGAAGTCTCTCGTCTCCCATTGATCTGCTCCTCCCTGCTCCTCCCTGCTCTTCCTGCTCTGAGCAGGCGCAGGACCCTTGGGGAGTGGGGGCATGCTTACCTGGCTGGAACAGATCTGAGCTCCCTGGGCCTCAGAGACTAGGGGGCTGGTCTCCAAGACACACGGATATTTATGGACTCTGCGATCCCCCAGAGCAGGAAGTATTTCTGCCCAGTTGGCCCAGCACCCTGGGTGGGTGGGGCGGGCTGAGGTCCAGCTAAAGGTTGGAAGCGCCGGGCCCTACCCACCCCCATCTCCATCCCACACTGCCATTTTTGGTAGAGCTGCTATGGCCCATTGAGTCCAATGCACAGGACAACCTGCCTCCTAATCACAGATGTAGGTCCCTGCTGGGCAGCTGCTCAGGGCCTCACACAATTGCTGAGAGATTCTGGAAGGGCTGGGATGAAAAGGTGCTCCCCCAGAAAGGATTTAAGCTTGAGTAACAGTCAAGTTCAGTCTGTGTCCAGCACAGGTGCCAGCCACAGGCAGGCGGGGCCTGGAGTCCAGCCTAAACCTCTGGCTGAGCCCAGGACTGAGTCCGTCCTCCCAGGGGGGCACCTCCCTTAACTAGAGGCTGGCAGCAGGGGGTGACTGGACTTTTACCACCAGAGCAGACCACTGTGAGTCACCATCAAGACGTGCATCTTGGTGGCCTCCCAGATGAGCACAGTCCCCCTCCACTCCTCTCAGCACCATGTTTCTGTCCTAAAAGTCACCAGAAGGCCATGGCCACTTGGAGGGCTATGCCTTTGGGGTCCCAGCTTTCCAGCTTTCTGATGTTTTCAACAAACATTTCAAAATGTCTCATCCTTGAATTTTTTTCAGGAACAGGTTGGTCTGAATGACTTGGCCTGCACAGCTTTGAAATGACCCTCAGCCCCATTTTATAGATGTGGAAACTGAGGCTCATATGAAGCGTGTGTCCCCACCCAAGGACACCCAGGGCTGGGATTGGAACCTAGGGGTGTCCAGCCCAAGCCCACCCTCCCTGCACTGCCTATCAAGGAAGTAAGGTTGATGATAAGTCCCCCGCACCCAACCCCTGGGTCTGACCCTCTTGCCAAGCCTAGCTGTCCACTAGGAAGGCAGTCATGGGATCGCCAGGGGAGAGAGGCAGGGCTGGGGCAGGACCACCTGGTCTAGTTACCCATGCCCACTGTCTGTCAGACCCTGGAGCTCCACCACTGCCCTGCAGACCCCCAGGCTGATGCCTCTGCTCCACCTCTCCTTAGAGTTTCTCAATCCTCCGAGCAGCCTGGCTCCCAGGGCTTCATGGGCTCAGAGTGGGGTTTGCAGATCCCTTGGCTGCTCCTCATTGGTCCAGTCAGGGCCACTGGCAGCTGGACAGGGTGGCTGGAGGGTGGTGAAGTGTGAGTCTCGGTCACCCTAATAGATTCTTTGGGGCTACTCGCCTCAGTAAAGGGGTGGGCAGGGAGCCCCACGGTGGTCACCAGGCACTGAGAAATCTTGTCAAGTCATTTCTGACTCACGGCAACCCCCTATATGTCAGAGTACAACTGTGCTCCACAGGGTTTTCAGTGGCTGGTGGTTCCGCAATAGATCACCAGTACTTTGTTCTAACACACCTTGGGGTGGATTTGAACCTACAATCTTTTGATTCCCATTTGCACCACCCAGGGACTTATTACCAGCCCTAAAGGACAGCTGATGCAGATGGGGACTGAGGATCTAGGAGGCTGAAGAGCCAAGACATCAGCCAGTGGTGATCAAAGGGGTCAGAGCTTGTGTCTGCCTGCCCCCAATCTTTCTCTGCTGCTTGGGGTCTTGGGGTACTGCCTCAGGGAGTGGAAAGCCAGATCTGTGTTCAGCAGGTCCTCACAGGGGCTGGGAGCCTGCTAACTCACTGCTGGGCCTCTTGAGAAGGAAGGGCCTGCTCAGCAGACCTGCTTATTTTGGTATTTCCTGCCAGGAGGTGCTGAGCCCTCAGGTCTGGGGAAGACAGCAGAAATGCTGCTGAGAAGTTTCACTTCCCTCCACGGGGGCCAGCTTCCGTGTTCTGGTGAGTGTTTATGAAATGGAAGGAAGACTGGGAGTCAGGGACGGAGCACCCGATCTCGGCTCCTTGTGTGTGTGCGTGCGCCACAGTGCTTGTGAACATCTGTGAGTCACACCTGTGAGCCCTAGGAAGTAGAAGGACCCCACCCCAACCTTCTCTGGCTCCGACACCGATACCCCATCCTCCAGGTCTCTATCTCTGACATGCTGTGTGGCCCAGAGCAAGCCAGTACCCTCTCTGAGCCTGTGAGAGTCTCTTCCTAACCCATGGCTGCCGAAACAGTGAAGGACTAGAGAGAGGTAACACAAGATTTGTAAACAGGCCTTGAAGAACACCATGATGTCGGTGAGCCCAATTTCTTCACTGCAGCTGTAGAAACTGAGGCCCCAAGAGAGGCCAGAACCTGAATCAGTCCACTGGTCCAGTGGCTTTGCAAGACAAGGCTCCAACGGTCCCACCCCCACCCCCAGCCTCTGTCCCTGCTCATCTGTCCTGTGGAGAATCACAATACTTGGAAGCCCAGCCCCCTACCTTTTCATAGCCAGGGCCAGCAGAGGCCTCTTCTCTGCCTCCTCTCAAGGATCTGCTCAGCTTGGTCCCAACAACACCCCATCCTTCCACCTCTAGCCCTGGGGTCCACCCCGTCTTTGGTAACTTCATGCTGGCCTCTGGCTCCCAGTGCCGTCTATGTGCTGATAACTCCTAGATTCAAACCCCGGCTCCCCAGGCCTGTACACCATTTGCTCCCCACCAACCTCTCGAGCTCAATTATGGCAGCATCTCACAAGACACGTCCACTCTTAGGGCTGGAGAAGGCTGAGGAAGGAGCCAGGACTACCTCTGTTGAAGTGAGGCTCCTGGGGATGTTTGTTTCCCTGGGGGGCGAGGGCAAATGGGAGGCCTGATCCATTTTGCATTTTTGAAGGTCCTTCTGGTGCTATGTATAAACAGCTGGAAGGGGATGGCAGCTAGCAGAAGGGAGACCAGAGCAGCGGGTGCAGGGTCAGGCGAGAAAAGGTGTCAGAAAACTGACCGCCAACACAAGCCAGGCAGAACTGGGTTAGGGCTGATGTGCTGGGTGGGTAGGAATGCAGGTGGTGGGTGAAGGAAGGCTTCCCGGAAGCAGAGTGGCCGGGACGGCGAGGGAGGGCCTGGCTGAGTGTAAGGTCCAACTGAGGGCCATCTCTGAGCATGCTGAGTTTAGGACCTAGGAAGATGGTGATGGGTCTTGGGTGGCCAGTTGCACATTTAGAAAAGATCCCTGGTTTCTTGGGGCATAGAGGGGGGACAGGTTCAGCCCCTCCTCCAAGAGCTCATGGACTGACTGGCGGTGTGGAGGGGGGTATGTTATAAAGTGTCATTGAGTCAGTTCTGACTCATAGTGATCCTGTATAGGGTTTCTGAGGAGTGGCTGGTGGGTTTGAACCGCTGACCAGACAGATAAAATCAGCAAAGCCAGCTCAGGGCCTTCAGTTCCTCTCTCTGATTCTGTGTCTCTCTCTTGTTCTCTGTCTCTCCCAGTGTCTCTGTCTCTATGAGTGTGTGTCTCTGTCTCTTCCTCACATCCCCACTCACATTCCATGAATCCACCTGCAGGCATATTGGGGGCCCGGTCCTACCAGCTCTGGCCAGACACCAGGGGACACCGCTAAGCCTTGTGTCTCTGCCTTCGTGCTTCACTGTCCAGTCTCATAAATGGCCAAACCCCTAGCATGGAGGGCAGGCATTCCAGGCCAGGACGCCTGGTGTAAGGAGCAAGCCACCAATTCTGGGATTTCTCTCAAGCACATTTAATGCGCCCACATCCACTGTGGAGGTAGCAAGAGCCTGCCATTTGTGGGGGGGATAGCAGGGTACCTGCTGTTCTGGGAGACCCCACCATGCCACTCTTTGTTTTCCCAGTCCACAGTCCTGCCTCCCACAGCCCACGCCCACCCCCAAGGCACAGGCCCACCTGCACAGGTGTCTCATTGCAGCCTGTTGCCCCACCCCTCTGGGCAGCCTGCCTACTCCTGCCCACTGACCAGTGTCACTGCAGGCTGTCATTTTTCTGTACACCAACTCTTATACAGAGGAACAGTACGACGGCAGAAGCTGACTTCTGACCACCAGCACCCAGCCCCTGGGCTTCTGGGAGCACACCTGAGTCTGGTGGTAGGACCCTGGGAGCGCTGGACAGAGAAAGGCTGCTGCCCCCACCCTCGAGACTGTAGTGGTGGGCTCTGGTTTCTCAGGAATACATAACTCTGCCCCATGCCAGCTCAGCTTAGGGAAAAGCCCATGTTTTCTTGGTGAACCTGTGTTTGGTGCTACATGAGCCAGGTGAGGGCAAAGGACCTGGTGTGGAATTTGGAGGTGGGTCCCCGGTAGAGGCGATGCCTGGGTGGGCTTCGGGGTGGGCAGATGTGGAGGAGAGGTGTACCCAGAGGAGAGAGCAGCAGGATCAACACCTGGGGGCGGGGGTTAAGGGTCTCTCAACAGTTCAATGTTGCTGGATGGTCAAAGTCTTTGCTTAGTCTTGCTGGCACTTTCTTCTGGAAGAGACTTGGTCAGGCATGACTGAGGGAACAGAGGGCAGGACAGAATTGGGTTGAGTGGCACGATTAGGGAACACTTGTCACATTTAATGCCCTTTTGGCCTCTCTCAGAAGCCCTGGTAGCACCTCAGTTTGGCTACTGAAAGGTCGGTGGTTTGAATCCACCAGTTGCTCTGCAGGAGACAGATAATGATGAGGCAATCTGCTTCCACACAGGTCAGAGCCTTGGAAACCCTTGGAGCAGTTCTACTTTGTCCTACATCGGTTGCTGTGAGTGGGAATCAACTCGATGGCAAATGAGTTTGATTTGGTTTTTGATTTTTGGTTTCTCCTAAACAGCCTTTCCAGGGGTAGAAGTGAGAACTTTCAGTCCAGCTTCTCTTGCAGCTACCAAGCGGTCATGTGACTGTGTTTAACCAATCAGATGCCTTATGAGTCTCTGATCCAGCAGGGAACAGAGTGAGAAGATAGGCAGGGTACAGACCCGGTCTTCTGGAAAGATTTGGGGAGTCAGGGCCCCCGTTTCTCTGAGTGATCCCAGAAAGTTTCCTGTCTGCTCTGGGCCCCAGAAACAAGAATTATTGCCCTGTGTCGGGGCTTTGGAACAGATTAACCTGGGTTTGAGTGTCACGTAAGCCATATACTGTGAGCTTTAGGGTCAACCGGCTTAGTTTTCAGAGCTTCAGTTTCTCTACTGCCAACTTGACTTACAGCACCTATTATAGATAGAGACTGGGATGTTCCCACAGCCCGCAATGAGAGAGCCCTTTTCTTCCATATTTCATGAAGATTTTGCTATTTCATAAAACTCTGCCTGGTATAGGCAGAGAGACAGGTAGGAGAGGCAGCATGTTTATCTCTGGTCAGGACCAGCAGGGGCTCTGCAAATGGGGTGAAGAGATGGCACCGAGAAAGGAGAAAGAACATAAGCCAGTAGCATAGGTGTGTATTCTAATGATGAAGTCATGGTGGTTGGTGGTTATGTGCCATGGAGTTGGTTCTGACTCATAGCGTCCCTGTACAGAGATTTCGAGGCTGTAAATCTTTACGGGAGCAGAACGCCTCATCTTTCTCCCATGGAACAGCTGGTAGTTTCGAACTGCTGACCTTAAGGTTCACAGCCCAATTTGTATCCACTATGCTACCAGAGCTCCTAATGATGAAGCCATAGGTTATAGGTTATATACATACTGCAGTATCATGTGCCTAAGAAGCTCTGGTAGCATAGTGGTTACAAATTGGGCTGCTAATCTCAAGGTCAGCAGTTTGAAACTACCAGCAGTTCCGAGGGAGAAAGATGAGACTTTCCGCTCCCGTAAAGATTTATTTTATACCCTCGGAAACCCTATGCAGGGTCACTGTGAGTCGGAACCGATTCCACGGCACATAACCACCACCATTATATGCCTGGCGGTGCAATCACTTTGTACACAAGAGACATGTTACATGAGGGAAGTTATTGCTACATCTAGTTACATCTGCTACATCCTGATGGGGTTTTCACCTCCCCATGCCCTTGCTCCTTTCTAGGAGTGGAGTTTTATGTAATAGCCAAACCTTCACAAAATATAGAACAAAAGGTTCACCATTGGGGGCTGTGGGAAGGTGATATAACCCCACTATGTCCAGGGGCCAGACTTAGGTCTTCCCTGGGAGTCTCTAGCACAGGATGTCAGATGTGGTCACTATGTACACACCCACCTCCTGTGCTCATGGCAGACATCACCAATCAATCACTGCACTCCCTCCTACTGATTCCACACACCACAGGTTATCAATGAGACAGACATCACCAATTGGCTAGATCTAGGTTTAAGATCAGATCATTTCAGGTAAGACATTCCCAGTTCCGCAAACAAGTCTGTAGGAAACTGTTAGGTAGACATTTCTCTGTCTTTGGGAGCTTACAGAAATTATACAGGGGTCCTTTCTAATCACAAGATCTGCCCAATTTTACATGGAGTAAGTTTCCTGTCACCAGGCATATCTAAGCAGAGGGTCAGTGTATCTGTCCGGAGCCTACAGAGGGGACTTTGGTCCTGAGAGGGGCTGGGCCAGTAAGGGGTCTGTTCAAACAAAGTCACAGACACCCATCTCTCAGGGGTCCACGAGGTGTTCCTGGTAGTCAGGGGCAGGTCAGGGACAGGCAGTTATTGGTAGCAGGGTGGACGGATTGTGGGTCTAGGCCTCACAGAAGGGTGCACCCCTGGGAGTCCAGGGCCCAGGTGATGAACTTCTGGCTCCAATCAGAATAGGGCGGGTAGCGGACTTCATTGAGCTTCTCCAGACCTGGGCTGGCCATCAGGCAGGCACGGTGGTGGGAGAAGGTATCGAAGGAGAACTTGCCATGATACCGGCCCATGCCGCTGTGACCTGTGCAGATGCTCATTGTGAGGGCTGACATTCAGCCATAGCCCCAGCCCAGGCCAGAAACACCCAGGTAGCTGGGAACGTGGAGACAGTTGGTCATCCTAAGAGCCATTGTATAGACAGGGAAACTGAGAACTTGAGAGTCTAGCGTCTAGATCAAGGCTGAACAAAGGCAAAATGGGACTTCCTGGGACAAAGATGCCACACTCAATCTCTCAGCAGGGCAAGGAGACCCGGATGGGTGGAGGAGAGCAGGACTCACCAACTCCCCCAAACGGCAGGGATGGCACTGTTAGGTAGACAAAGCCTTCATTGCCCCCGAAGCTGCCGCTGCTGGTCCGCTCCAGCATCTGATTCACCACCTGGAGGTAAGATGAGGGTGGCAAGGTCCAGACATTGGGGATGAGGGCCGCCAACCATTCCCCAGAGGAGGCAGAATGGGCACAGCTCATTCTCAGTCCCTTCCCCATCTCCTATTGAGCAGCCGTCCCTCCTCGAAGCCCTTTCTATTAAAAAATGCCCCATTTGAGCATCATGCTCTTTTAAGAACCGTTTCTATGGAATCAGAAGGATCCCTAGTGGCATAAGTAAAGTTCTCAGAAGTTTGAAATCACCAAAAAGATTCAGAGCCTTGGAAACTCCATGGGGCAGTTCTACTCTGCTCTATGGGGTTGTTATGAATTTACTTGATGGCTTTGCTTTGGGTTGGGCTTATGTGGGATCAGACGGACAAAAGCACCTTAAAAGTTGCATAGGAAGCTTAGGGATCCTGGAGCATGAACAGTTCAGAAAAGGAGGGTGAGAATGAATGATTGCACAATTGAAAGAATATCATGTAACTCATTGAAATAGACATGTAGAAACTGTTGACTTGGTGTAGGTTCTGCTGTGCACTTTCTCAACAATGGCAAAAATTAAAATATTTTTTAAAAAGATAACACCTTCACAGTCACATCTGGGGTCCCCTAGTGGTTACAGAAGTGGAGGTGCAAAGATGGAGGAAGTCCTACAACATGGGCTTGACAGTAGGTAAGCACAAAGTGCCACCTCCCAGTCTCCAGCCAGGCTTTACCCCTGCTTGCTGCTCCGCATACAGAACTTTTACATGATGTAGGAAAAGGCACCTCTTCTCCCATCCATGGCAGACAGCTGGCAGGCTGCCCCTGAGTGGACCCCTCAGTCAGGTGCTCTGTGCAGGGCACGCTGGTCCCCGTGGTCAGCACTATAGTCATGACTCCCAGGGCAGGTCCTGTCCTCACCCCTCTCAGCCTGTAGCCCCCACCCCGGCCACACCTGGCTGTTGTTGGAGAAGGCATAAAGCGCCAGGGGCTTTTCACGCCGGGTGATGAAGTCCACAGCCTCGTCCAGGCCCCTCACAGTCACGATGGGCAGGATGGGCCCGAAGATTTCCTCCTGCATCACCGGCTCCGTCTCCTGCACATCCACCAGCACTGTGGGGGCTGCGGCACAACACACTCAGCCCAGGCCCCAGACCCTGCAGCTGCGGGCTAGGGCCAGTGGGGGCTCGGGCACCCAGGAGGCTGAGGGGTGCTCCAGGGAGGAGCAGGGAGTGGGCTCCCAGCCTGGCTGGGCCCAGAGCAGCCTCAATCTCCTGGGAGACAGACTTGGTGACAGTGTCAGAGTTGGCAGCACCCTTGGGGGCGGAGGGCCCTGTCACCCAGAGCAGCAGGTACTCAGGTTGGTGTTGAGTCAGAACTGGGACCTCCACACCACGATCAGGGCTCTTGTGGGACAGACCCTCAGCACTGTCAGATCTGGGGCTGGAAGCTGAGTTGAGTGTGTCCAGACTTGGGTAGAGTCTGGTAATCAATGCAACAGGCTCAGAATCACAGAGCCACAGACACGGCGCAGTGTCGTGGGATGAGGCATTGGGGGTGGAAGGAGATCGAGCTCCAAATCTCTAGCCCAGAGGTGTGGCCTGCTTGGCCCTTCCATATCCATAGCCTATATTCCTTGTGCCCCCTATTCCCCCTAGTCCCCCACTTACCAATGTATCGTTCACTCTCGTCACTCTGGCCACCTATGGCTACGCGCCCACAGCCCAGCAGGCCCTGAAGTCTCTTGAAGTGTTTCTGGTTGACAATGCGGCTCAGGTTGGGGGAGCTCTTGGGGTCGTCCCCGTAGAAGCGGGTGATGGCGCTCTGAATAGCGGGCAGTAGCCGCTCCTGCGTCTCGCGGCTGCACAGGACATAGTCAGGGGCCACACAGGTCTGACCGGCATTGAAGTATCGGAACCAGACCACGCGGTTGGCCACTGTCTGAGGGTCACAGTCATCATCCACATAGCAGGGGCTCTTGCCCCCCAACTCCAGTGTGACAGGAGTCAGGTGCTTGGTCGCAGCGGCCATGACAATCTTGCCCACGTGGGGGGTCCCTGGGGACACAGAAGGGGAACCATGTGGTCCAGCACCTGTCCTTGCTCTCGTTCCTTCTAGGCCTACCACACCTGCCTTCCCTGCTGATCCTCCCTCCTCCACTTCCCTGCACCATACACCCCTTCCTGGGTCCTTGGTCACCTGTGAAGAAGATGTGGTCGAACCTGTTCTCCAGTAGCTGCTGAGTCTCCTGGGGCCCACCCAGCACCACGGCAAAGCAGCTCTGTGAGAGGAAAGGGGCCGGGCTCAGACGGAGCAGTCCCAGAGGGCTGGGCATGGGGGTACCGGTGCTGATGGGGCAGGCCACCCTCACCTGGTCCAGGTATTGGGGCAGCACCTCAGCCAGGACCTTCTCTGTGCTCTTACTTATTTCTGACGGCTTCAGTATCACACAGTTCCCTGCAGGGGTAGAAGGGCAGGAGCAGGGAGTCCAGGGCTGGACTGGACAGCAGGGAGGCCAGGAACAGAAGTCTGGGGCCTCTTTGGGACTACAAGGCTCACTGCTCACCTGCGGCCAGGGCACCCACCAGGGGCACAAGCGTCAAGTTCACGGGGTAGTTCCAAGGGGCAATGATGAGGATCAGGCCGAAGGGCTCTTTCCGGATGAAGGCCGAGCTCAGCTTTGTGAGCTGGGGTGCAGGAAGGGCAGTGAGGCCATGAAGAACATCCAACCTTCCCAAACACACTGGGTCTCCTAGTTCCATCCTCGCCCACACCCCATGTACCCGCTGCCATAGTAACCCTGTAGGACAGAGGAGAGCTACCTCATAGGGTTTCTAAGATTGCTACATCTTCCCCGCAAGGAACAACGGTGGGTTTGAACAACCTTTTGACGAACAATGGAGCACTTTCCCAGGGCCCCAGGGCTCACCATGTTGGTGGACACCGGTTCGTCCTTCATCCAGCTGTGCAGGTTCTTGATGGCCAGGCTGACCTCATTCTGGCAAATGATTAGCTCCGACATGTCTGACTCCAGAGGGGACTGTGGTGGGGGACAAGGAAGAGAGGAGGTGAGTACAGCCGAGAGGAGGGGACAGTGTAGGCCCCACAGCAGTCTTTGGGCATTACCTAGTGAGTGGCCATCTGGCTCTGCCACTTACTGGCTGTATGACTGTGGACAAGTGACTGAACCCCGCAGGCCTCAGTTTCTCCATCTGTGACATGTAGGCCACAGTTGTGACTGTATTAATGAACAATCGTGCTAGGTAAAGAAGCGTCTGTTTAGTAGAGTGGAATCAACTGAGGATACAGCCCGTGACCAGGGGAGGAGAGGGATGCAGATGCCCCCCAGAGAGGAACAAGAAAGTTGTAGAAGATGCAGCCACTAGTGGGAAGGACAGGGCCTGGCCCAGGGAGCACGAGCCCCGCCCCAAGCCCCACCCACAAGTCCTTCCAAGCCCCGCCCCTCCCTAGTCCCGTCCCTGGATCCTCCTCAGGTTCCGCCCACCTTACGCAGGTCTTTGGCCAGCGCGTCCTGTAGAAGCTGCTTGTTGTCCCGCAGGAAGCGGCCCAGGCCCTCGAGCTGTGCGGCTCGGAACTCGGCAGCTCGAGTCCGTCCAGACCGGAAGGTTTCCCGCAGCCGCCGCAGAGTGTCCGCGAAGGGGTCCATTCTGCCGGGTGGGGACAGTATGGACTCCGGGGCTGCTCACCCTCCACGGGCCTCCACCTGGGTCTGCGGTACCTTGCCCACCTGCGCTCACAGTTTTCACTTGGGGGACCCCGCGAGGGCTAGGAGTAATCTGCGTCCCCACAAACACACCCGCATATACACACATGGTTCCCACCACCACACATGCACAGACGCTGTCCGAGGGGGTGTCTGCTCTGGGATGGTGACAGCACTCGGCTGGTCCCTCAACAATGACTGCAAAGCAGAGGAGAGGGTCCCGGAAGGGGGGTGGTCTTCGTGTGCAAAGGCGGGAGAAGAGCGCTGGGCAGTGCTGAGGCTGCTGAGGGGCCTTGAATCGATTTGGAATATATAGCCTGGGAGCCACAGTGAGAGGGTGAGAAAGGTCCCAGTGTGTGTGGGTGTGGGGGAGGGGGGGAGAAGGGAAGGAGTAGCTGCCAGGAGGGAATATGTCGAACCCTAGAGCAAGGGGCAAGTCCTGGTGTGGCGCTGTAGGATAAACTGGGCTGCAAGGTCATTTTGAACAGCAAAGTTGGCAGTTCGACCCCAGAATCCAGCTTGAACCTCTGGAAGTTCTCTATCAATGTATGATTGGTAGCCGTTTCTGTATTACCTTTAGTAATGTCCCTAGAGGACCTCATGTTTGATAAAGTGGAGGGTCAGAGAAAAAGAAGAAGACCCCCAAGAATATGGATTGGCACAGTGGCAGCAACAATGGGCTCAAGTGTAGCAATGATCCTGAGGTTGGCGCAGGACCAGGCAGTGTTGTGTTCTGTTGTGTCTGAGGTCGCTAAGACTCGATACTGACTCCAAGGCACCTAACAATAAGAATATGTATACATGCGTAAAAATTACTCAGAAAGGGATCTGAAAGGTGCAAGGCTTCAATCTCTGTAAGGTTGATTTTTATTATTTTTAAAATCTTTTCCCTTTTGTAAAATAAATGTGTACCTATGCCTTTGTGGCATAAATATATAGAATAATGGTCAATTTTGTCTAAGAATGTTGACTTACGCACTCTCAGACTGTGTTTGCGTTCAAAGATTCACTTTCACCTTCTATCAGTCCTCCGCCAACTCAATTAAAGTACAAACCCATTATAGAAAGAGACAAGAACAGCTAAAGAGACAATGGTGATGTAAGCAGAATGTAGTAATAAGTAGGAAAAAAGTAATGAAACAGAAAAATAGAATAGAGTTGAATAAATAAAAACAAAACACCACCATTAATTCTACAACTAAGTTGTTAGGTCATTTGATAAAATTTTCCACAAAAACAATGATTTTATAGAAAGTAGCTCATGTGATTCAAATCAGGGGAACTTGGCCTCATTAGCTGTCCTGCATACTTTCTTTATAAAAAAGATTTCAAGCCCATTTTCCAAATAAAAGTGAGACTGATCGTGTGCTCTAAAAAAAAAAAAAAAAAAGAATAGGGTAGGGATTCCTGTCTTCATCACTGCTATGCAACAGTTTACTGGAAATCTTAGTCACAGCAATTAGACAAGAAAACAAAAATAAGAGGCATTCAAGCTAAAAATGAAGAAACAAAACTATCTCTTTGCAGATGACTTGAATCTATAGAAAATCCCTAAGAATCCACATGTAAGTTACTAGAGCTAATAAACAAATTCATCAAAGTCGCGGGATACAAGATCAGCACCAAAATCAGTTGTGCTTCTACATACCAGCAATGAACACTAAAAAAAAAAAAAAAGGAAATTAAAAAAGATTAAAATACCTAAGGATAAGTGTTTGAGATGAAACAAATATTCACTGAAAACTAGAAAACATCGCTAAAAAAAAAAATTAAGTAAGATCTAAACAAATAGACACACATTCCGTATTCATGGATTAGAATATTTAATAATGTTAATTGCCAAAGAAATCTACACACCCAATTCCATTCCTTATCTTAACTCCAAAAGCCTTTTTGTTGTTTCATTTTGTCTTTAATTGCAGGAATGGAGTTGAACCTCAAGTTCATACAGAATTGTAAAGAGGTCCTGAATAGCCAAAGTAATACTGGAAATGAAAAACAAAGTTTGAAGACTCACATTTCCCAATTTCCAACTTACTGTAAAGCTACAGTAATCAAAACACTGTAGTACTGACATAAGGTGTATTTGTTGTTGTTGTCAAGTGTCGTCGAGTTGGTTCTGACCCATAGCGACCCTGTATAGGGCTTCTGAGGAGTGACTGGTGAGCTTGAACCGCCGACCTTGCAGTTCAAATGGCTTTGCAGTCTGGCGCATTAACCCACAGCGCCACACCAGGACTCCTAAGGTGTACAGACCAGTGGAATAGAACTGAGGATCCAAAAATAAACCTATACATCTATGACCAATCAAATTTTGACAATCATTCCAAGACCATTGAATGGGGAAAGCATAGTCTGTCTCTTCATCAGATGGTGTTGGGATAACTGGACAACCACATGTGAACAGATGAAGTTGGTCCCCTGCCTCACACCATATACAAACAGTAGCTCAAAATGGATTCATAACCTCTATATAAGAGTTAAAACCATAAAAGCTCTTAGGTAAAAAGCATAGGAGTTAAATCTCCATGTTCTTGAATTTGGCAATGGATTGTCAGATATGACTTCAAAAGTACAAGTAATAAAAGAAAAAATAGATAAATTGAACTTCATCAAAATTAAGTGTTGTGCATCAAAGGGGGTTATGGGAGAAAAAAGGTCTGATAGGAGTTTAATAACCAATTACATATATAACTGTTACAGCTCAACCACAACAAAGGAAAAAACAATTAAAATATTGGGCAAAGGGCTTGAATAAATATTTCTCTAAAGGAAATACACAATGGCCAGCTAGCACAGGAGAAAGATTCTTAGTTTCATTTGTTTTGGGGGGGAATTTCAATCAAAACAGCAATGAGGTACTACTCCACACCCAACAAACACAGGCAGCAGTAGAGGGACTCACTCATCTCTGCCAAGAAATTTGGAAGACAGCTATTTGGCCAACTGACTGGAAGAGATCCATATTTGTATCAAGTCAAAAGAAAGGTGATCAAACAAGGTACCAAAATTATCGAACTATATCATAAATATCACATGCAAGGGAAATTTTGCTGCAGATAATTGAAAAATTATTACAGTAGTACAAATTCAGAAGAGAGCGTGGAATGAGGGGACATCATTGCTGAGGTCACATGGATCTTGGGTGAAAGCAGAATTTACCAGAAAGATGTTCACCTGTGTTTTATTGACTATGCAGAGACATTTGACTGTGCGGATCATTAAAAAATCATGGAGAAATTAATTAAAAGACTGAAATTGTCAAAGACTTAATTTTGCTTGGATCCACCACCAACACTCATGGAAACAACAGTCAAGAAATCAAATGACGTATCGCATTAGGCAAATCTGCTGCACAAGACCTAATGTGCACCTGACCCAAGCCATGGTATTTTTAATTGCCTCATATGCATGTGAAAGTTAGACAATGAATAAGAAAGACCATAGGAGAATTGATGCATTTGAGTTATGGTTTTAGAAAAGAATATAAAAGCTATCATGGACTGCCAGAAGAACAAACCAATCTGTGTTGGAAGAAGTACAACCAGAATGCTCCTTAGAAGCCAAGACAGCCAGACTTCATCTCTCATATTTTGGACATATTATCAGGAGGGACCAGTCCCTGGAGAAGAACATCATGGTTGGTAAAGTGGAGGGACAGAGAAAAAGAGGAAGACCCCCTACGAGATGGATTGGCACAGTGGCAGCAGCAGTGGGCTCAAGTGTAGCAGCAATTGTGAGGATGGCACAGGACAAGGCAATAATTCGCCCTAGTGTATGTAGGGTAGCTATGAGTTGGAATTGACTTAACGACACTCAAAACAGCAATATTGTGAAGAATAGGTATTCCAGAACACATCAGTGTGCTCATGTAGAACCTGTACATAGACCAAGAGGTAGTTGTTTGAACAGAACAAGGGTCTACTGCTTGGTTTAAAACCAAGAAAGATGTATGCATATCAGGGTTGTATATTTTTACCACACTTATTCAATCTGTATCCTGAGCAAATAGCATGAGAAGCTGAACTACATGAAGAAAAACATTGCATCAGGACCTACAATATGAAGATGACACAATCTTGCTTGCTGGAAGAGAAGAGGGCCTGAAGCACTTACCGATGAAGATCAAAGACGACAGACAGCCTGTTGGGTGGATTACACTTGAACACAAAATCCTCTCACAATGGACCAATAAGAAACATCATAATAAGTAAAGAAAATATTGAACTTGTCAAGGATTTCATTTTACTGGAATCCACAATGCCCACTGAAGCCATAGTCAATAAATCAAACTAACATATTGCATTGGGCAAATCTTCTCTACAAGACTTATTTAAATGTTAAAAAGTAAAGAGTTCTCTTTGAAGACTAAGGTGCACCTGACCCAATCCCCAGCATTTTCAGTAGCCTCAAAAGCTGAACAATGAATAAGGAAGACCAAAGAAGAATTGATGCCCTTGTATTGAATATCTCATAGACTTCCAAAAGACTGAACACACTTGTGTTGGAAAAAGTACACTCAGAGTGTTAGAGTGCTCCTTAGAAGGTCCATAGAAGTACTTTGGCATGTTATCAGGAGGGACCAGTCCCTGGAGAAGGACATCATGCCTGAAAAAGCCAAGGGCCAATGAAAAAGAGAAAGACCCTCAACAAGATAGACCGACACGGTGGCCGCAACAGTGGAGTCAAACATTGCAACGATTGGGAGGCTGGGACAGGACTGAGCAGTATTTCCTTCTGTTGTCCATGGGGTCCCTATGAGTTAGGCACCTAACAACATATAGAGTAACTTTTTTTTTTTTTTTAAAGGAAAACACAAGATGTTGGTGAGGGTGTGGAGAAATTGGAACCCTCACCTCATCCATTACAGGTGGGAATGGAAAATAGTGCACTTCAAACAGTTTGGGAGTTCCTTCAAAAGTTAAACATAGAATTGCCACATG